GCTGTAATTGATATATACGTTATCAACTTTGACTACCCAAGGAAAACGAATCTGTTAAATCTCATACTATAGTTGTACAAGAATTGTCATGACGATCAGAGTTATTCACTATAACTAGTGTTCTTTTTCTTGACTTTTATATTTAGTTTACCTGTTTTAACGTGTACAGTGTAACATCAAGTAGTTCTCTTAACACTAGTAAGTTTTCATGGCTATCTAGCAATCAGTCTGTTGCAGTTTCTTAATTTCCAATGAGGGCTGTTATCACCCTCTATTGAGTTGCAGAGTATAATAGGTGTAATGTTGGAGAGTTAAATGTAAACATTTATTGCTCGGTTCGCAAGACACTTTGTATAGTACTGGACGATGTTAAAGATGTAAATAAAATTAAAATCTTGTGTACTAATATCACCAGCATATAATTGACAAATGTAAATTTGTCGCTACTTTAATATTGCCATCATATAACTCTCTACCATTACACCTTTTCGATTTAACCAATTGTAAATTTGTCACATTCATTTTTTTTTTTGTAACTTTCTTCACTTTTGCCTACAAGGTTGGCCTTGGTGTAGTTGGGATGGTGGTAGATTTTGTATAAATTGGCATATTTTAAGGTTTTAATTGATGTTTTGTTACTTTTTAAAAATTTTGTCACTTTTTAAAATTTACATCACTATTCTGAGTGTTTGTCACTTTTTTGAATAGCGTGTCACCTTTTTTCCGTCACTTTTTTGAAATTTTTGTTATTTTTTTTAGTGACAAATATCATTTTATAATAAAAAAGTGACATTTAACTTGATATAGTATTTTTGATTTCAAAAGAAACTTTTTATATGATTAATTGGTAGGTGACGATGGCGGTGAATTGACTTTAAAATACTTAACGTTTTGATTGAAATTTTGTCAATTAACTATCTTTAAGATGCTTCGTGGCGAAACAGAGAAAGCGGAGGGACGATTGTCGTGTTATTTTTTTAAAAATTTCTATCACTTTATTGAATTGATTCCAATGTTTTAATTTGTGTTTTAATAAAATGTGACATAATGTTACTTTTTTAATGAAAAGTGACACAATGTCACTTTTTCTTTTTTAACAAAGTGACATGGTGTCATTGGTTTACACTGGGTGGTCACCTAGTGTATTACTGGGCGATCATCCAATTGAATATTTGAGGGCAACCACTTTTTTTAGTATTTGTCACTTTTTTTTAATTTTTCTCACTTTTTTAAATTTTTGTCATAAAATAGCTTACCTTCTTGTTGACTTCTCGGATCTCATCCCTATTAGTGTAGAATACCATTGAACTCAAGTTCTCTATTTTCTTTACTTGTTCTTGCAACCTCTTCTCCCTTTCGGCCTGTGCTTTCTTTTCCTCTTCCAGCTCTAAGGCCATTCTCTCTCTTTCCAACTCACTCTGACAATAATTAAGACTTAACTTTTAACACATACGTTAATACAATAACATAAGAAATCTTCATTGCAAACATTTAGCAATGTATTCCGCAGATTCAAGATTTCCTCTTCTAGATGTTCAGAGCGTAAACCCTTAAAATACAAACAAGTACGAACTATCAAGTTATCTTGGTATTCTAACAGAACTGCTGCTAGTCTCATAGGCATGAGTTTACATGAAAACCTATGCCAACTTCTAATTTAGCACGCAGTTCATCAATCTCCTTTTTCTGACGCTTTAACAAAGTAGCATCAATCAGTATCCGTCGTTACAAGAATGAAAGATAATTAGTCACATGAAAATCAATTTCCGAAGAATTGAAACCATAAACACGAAATTTCAACTGCATGGAAAATATCAGTCAAGGGAAATGGGAATTCTATCAAGTTATCTTGGTATTCTAATAGAACTGCTGCTAGTCTCATGGGCATGAGTTTACATGAAAACCTATTCCAACTTCTAATTTAGCACGCAGTTCATCAATCTCCTTTCTCTGACGCTTTAACAAAGCAGCATCAGTCAATATCTGTCATTACAAGAATGAAAGATAATTAGTCACATGAAAATCAATTTCTGAAGAATTGAAATCATAAACACGAAATTTCAACTGCATGGAGAATATCAGTCAAGGGAAATGGGAATTACCTCATTTACATGAGCACCATTTGTCACTCGAAATGCTCTGCTTGCAAATTGAAGACTGTTTTTAATATTATCAACATGGATCTGCAGAGCAAAAAGCCCTAGTCAGTTGTAGATATTCACCCTTCAACTGCTTATTTATAAATTGAGGCGGGGAAGAGAGAAAACAAAAAATATTACAATTACACGTAAAATCTAGCACTCAAGATGACTAGTCTCATGCAAGTGATGTTTCCTCTGTTTTCTCAATAAACAATAAATAAACCGAAGAAGAGGTGCAAATTTGCACCCATACTCGTGAAATTCACCTATGCAAGTGTAATATTGCATATGATAGCAGTCTTTGCATTCCCACCCAATGTATGTTAAAAAATACATGTGAGGTTGCTGTCTCGATAAGGGACATGACCCTTGCAATATTCACATGATGCTTAAGAACATTATTATGTTCAAATAACTAATTTCAGTAACAATTCGAACTCACCCTTGGCTCTAAGCACTTTCACTTAGTTTCTTTATAACAGTTCCTAACGTTATTAGGCTTTTGTTGATATGGGAGCCCTCTTTCAGATGAACACCTTTTGTTCCAGTATTTGCACCACGCTCTGAACCAGCAAGATCCACCAAGTTCTGTATGGGTTGACTGAATAAAGAAGGGGATAAAAAGATCAAAAATGTTTTCTTTATTTAAAAGAGGAGAATAAATATGGAGAGAAAAATTACGAAACTGTAGAACAAGGAGAAAAAAAGTAAGAAGAAATAAATAAATACATAAATAAATCCCTCAACAGAGCTGCATGTGTAATAAAGCTAAACCAGCATATAATCGCATAGCATTTGTACATAAAAATGACATAAACGCCACTGCATCCCAAAGAAAAAAAATTAAACAACTTCCTTCAAACCACATTGCACATCTTAGAATTGTAAACCAGCAAACAGTCCCACGGCTTTTGCCCTCAAAGATGACAAAAACACAACTTTATCTATAAGCAATGAGAATTATAGTCATAATCTAAGAAATCCTAGCATTCATCCCAAACATTTAGACCAAGTTATAGTCATCAGGATAAGGCCATAACGGCAAAGCCAAGAACATTATTATTTATTCCATTGAAAAAGCAATTAAATCTAATAAATTAGGATATGAATTTGAAGTAGATGAAGAAACAAAGAGAGGACCATAAACTACATACCAAGACAGAGACACGAACTGCATCACATGACAAGTCTGCTTCTGCATCATCAGTTTTCTCCCTGCTCTCAATAATCTATATTTACAAATTTTATATTAGCAGAATTGACAGATTCATGAATCGTATAAGAATTACAAGAATTATAAACCTACCATGCGGAATATCATGTGCGACCTACTACTGTATACATTCATATTTGTCTCCGCATATGACTATGAGATGTAAAATCAATAACAAAGAGCGAAAGAGTTAAAATTGTTATCCACCTCTTGAATATTTGACCATGTAAGACTAAGATGAGGTTGATAGTGTGTTTCATTTGAGTTTCCCCTTCTCAAATTTACAGACGAAAAGGAATTAAAAAAAGGCTAGTTCATTATGGACAATAATAAATATAGTTAGATTCTGAGCATTCCTTTGAAAATGGGAATTTTGAAAAGTAAGAACTGTCAGTTCATTTAGATAAGTAAAAGGAGAACTTACGTTCTCCAAATTCCATGAGTTTAAGAACTTGGTCAGGAGAAGCCACAATTTATTCTCTTAAACCAACAACAAAAAACCTTCGCTTCATGTTCTAGAAAAAACGAAAAGAGTGTGAGGCGTTAAGTATTAATACTTATAAGCACAATGAAAGTCATCAATACTTTCATGAATTTGTAATTTCCGTTGTTCACGAGCCAACAAATTATTTATCTCCTCATTGTAGATCTCCATATAAGACATGCGTAAAAGAAACTCTCAATCCATTTTCTAGAAGTCAGAAATTACAATAAGAGAGTATCAGTTAAATTCAATAACAAGTCTAAATAAAACGACTGATTTATTTGTTGCAATATATCAAAGTTTACTAGTTAACTGATATAAGTCCGGACAACCTATGGTTACCAAAAGACATTCATGGGATTAGAATATACATGTGCATCCCCATCCTTATGTGTTCAACTTGCCTAGTACTGTACATTGATTGTGATGTTAAGTCCCAAAGCCATGTGGGTTATCCCATGAATTTATAAATGAACTCGATTTCCTAACGCAATAATAACACTTTAGGAGCTTGAACCTAATAAGCTTGTTTTGTCAAATGAATAGAAAAATTAAGTAGTCAATAAGTTATAAAGACAACTACAAAAGAGTACCTCATGTATAATGTTAAAGAGATCATACACAGCAAGTGGAATAACTCCAGGCTCTGATGCTGAACCTCGCATTGTGTGTGTTTTGCCACCAGTTGTTTGTCCATATGCAAAAACAGTCCCTAAAGAGACCAAGTGGTGAGATAGATGAGTACACAAGATTATGTATGTCTATGGACTATGGTCATGATATGTATGGTGAAGGAGAGAATTCAAGAGAAGGAAAAACATTGCACTAAACAAGTGGTTGGAAATATGATCCTTGTTTCGTTTTGATTGTATAGACTAACTACTGTGATTGTTTGATTTTAACAAAAGCATAGATGATAAAAACAAATAATCTTTATTAAAGCAACCATTGGTTACAATATTATGAGCAGATAATGTTGCTAAATTATGGTAACTCATTATTAGTTAATAAACTATATCATGTTAATCAAGCACTTTATCACAAGCATTTAGATTAAAGTAATTAACTTGATCGGACCTGGAATCTAACAACTATGAGTTCAAAATAAGCCAAGGTTATGCTCAGATTAAGTAACCTGCACATATAGGTTACATTATATACAAAGGTTCACATAAGTACTTGACTAGTTAATCTTCTTTTGATGTGATCTGTATGAAAAGGCAATGTGGACTTCTGTGTAGCAGGCAATAATGTAAAATGATAAGGCTCGAATAACACAAACATCATGCTCGTGATCAAATTTTTATTGAGTTAAGACATGTGAAGAATAATAGTTCAAAAGTGCATACTCAGACCTGTTTGAGATAGTCTTTGAAACTAGATGTCATTGATGTATTTCTAAAATCTATAATCATTGCAAAATAGCAAAAAAGTGTGAAGTTCCTCCTTTAAAGTGTAGATCCAACATCATCAATTTCCTTCTTTTGTTCACCCTTTCTGTTGCATTTAATAGTATTGGCCATTTATCAGCCATTCAGTTATCATTCTAAAGGCTGAAATACTATTAACGTTTTATGCAACAAAAGTAATTCTCCAAATAAAAATAACACAAAAAAGGATAAAAAAATAAAAATGCCCGGATCAAAATTATCTTGCAGCACATAGTCAACTTAACAAAACTTATCTCATACCATTAAAGCCACGAACAGCAGCAGCAACTATATCTTTAATTCGAGATTTGTATACATCTGCCGTTCTACATTCCTCCTAAAAAATCCGATCTAATTAACAATCAAAAAACATATGTAAAAATAAAAACAACGAGTTTAAATCGTAAAATTATATCCAAAGTTGTACTGTCTGAGCTAAAAGTGAATTGAAATTAAAAAAAAAAAAGGCTTGTAACACTGAATCCCATGAAAGCATAGGTATAAGTACGACCACTGGAACAGAAGCTATGGTGGTTGGTAAGTCTTGTACGCAATATTATAAAAAAAAAAAAGAGGAAGAAAGAGAGGAAATAATACCAAATTCGATTTTGGAAGGCTGATTATGGATAAAAATAGAATTTCCAGAAATGCGCCATGGACTTGTCCTTGCATCCTCCGAAGAGAGTGGCCACCGCTCTGACAAATACGTGTATTCTCTCCATTTTCTCAGTATCTCTTCATGCTCAAGCCTTCTGTAGAAAGAGGACAAGACATGAAGGAGAAAATGGTTCTTTTTATTTTCGTGCCTTTATAAAGCCCGCACCCGACCTTCTATCCCATGTTTATTTCTTGAACTATAGTCGTATTCAAATATATACACGACTTTCACCGAGTTTATGCGCTTAAATTTTAGATCGATCATGCTATTTCTCTCTCCGATGTCCTTTTGAAAGCAACTCAAATTTTCGAGAAGTTCAAACTTCAAAGTCTTGTTTATCGAGTTAATTGTTTCAATGGTCACTGAACTTTACCCTCGTCACGGACTACCCACTGAACTTTACATTGCTTCCAAATGGCCAGTCAACTTACCTCCGTTTCACCTAAATGGCCATCAAACGAACTCCGTCAGTGAACACCTTGACGTGGACGACGGAATGCTGACCGGTCCGTTAAAAATGGTGACCAGCAAGCCACGTGGAATAAAAATGAACCAAACAAGACCTTAGCTACACTACCTAATTCAGATCGTTAGAAATGTCTCATTCTTCCTCATTCATCCGTAGCCCTAGCCCCCAAATCCATTCCAAAAAATTTACTCGCCTTCGAATTTCCTTCCAATGGACCTGAAATTCGAAGACCCCAATCCTCATTCATAACCCCCAAAACCTTATTCAAAGAATTAATTTACCATTGAAATCGAATTGCAGGTCCATCCATGGAGAGAAAATGGGAAAACCGTAGCCCTAGCCCCAAAATCCATTTGAGTTAACATTGTGCTTTCACCTGCAAATTAGAAATCCCAAACGAACGCTCTGACGCCGCGAAGATCTCTAGCGCCAATAACCCTCGAAGGACGAATTCCCAATTCCGTTCGAAGCGCAATCCGTTCGAAGCATCTATATGTTTATCTGCTTTTTGAAAGCCATCAGCACTACTTCCTCTGAATTGCTTCCAGGTTTGCATTTTCGTTTTTCAGCTCCATGTCTGTTGAAGTAAAGGGTGGGCTGGCCATCTCATAACAGTTGGGCGGGCTGGCTGGTTTATATATTGTGATGTTGTGTGAAATGCTCCATGTCTGTTGAAGTAAAAGGGCGGGCTGGCTGGTTTATATATTGTGATGTGTGAAATGCTCCATGTCCGTTGAAGTAAAAGGGCAGGCTGGCTGGTTTATAGTGATGTTGTGTGAAATGCCATTTGGCCACGGGTTCTAATCTTCCGAATTTCTTTCCTCAGGACACATATTACTTCAGAATGGCAAGTAGAAACAGGGGTATTTGTCATAGCTGTAGGCTGCGCGGGCACATGTTGCCGGAATGTCCAACAAAGACGCGTCTATATTGAAGACAGCCGTTCAGTTAAAAGAAGAACAGTTGAAGATATCTATCAATATAACGATTCGCAAGGGAAAAGGAGCTACTGAAGACAACGGAAAAGGAAAGGGAAAAGTTGCATAAATTTCATCCAACTATGTAATTGGCAGTTGTAGTAGTACTTGTAGTAGGTTAAGGCATCGAGACTTGGATGCGATGTTGTAATAGATTAAGGCATTTCCTTTTGTTGAAGGTTTCAGATGAAGTCATCTCTATGTATGTGCCTGACTGTTATTAGATGAAGTGATCTCTCTGTCTGATTTTCATTCTGCTATAATGACTTCCAATTGGCTGTAAAATATTTGCTTATAATATTAGATGTTCTGTTTGGTGTGCAAAAATATATTTAGACACATGTTTACTTGACATTGTTTTAGGCAAATGTTTTGTGCAAAATGTTCTGGCATGTATTACCTATATCCCCCAAGTGATGTAGGTGCAGGCAGAGTTTCGTTCTGAACAGCATACTGAGGATATGAAAACTGAGGCTCAAAATCTATAAGAATGACAAAAACACTTTGTGCAACCTGTAATGTTCAAAAACTATTAAGAATGATATAAATAATGTGCAACCTGTAATGTTAAAAAACTATTAAGAATGGAGAAACCTGAATTATGCAAATAATATCAAGCAACAATTTGGAAGGTATTAAAACTTGAAATAATTAGCAACCAATCATCTTAAAGGTATTAAAAGTTGATATTCATTGGAAGCTGCTATTTGTAACCATACAAAAGATGTGTGTAATCAACCATCAAAATAGTACTGAACTTTACAAATAACTACATTAAGCTTCCCTTCTGTCACATATGAAGCCAACAAAAAACAAAACTACCTAGTTATGACTGCTTATGTGCCATACTGCCATGGATTCCAAAAACATTTGAACATTGCCACATATTTTTTCAATGCTCCAACTAGGATGTCGCCTTCGCAAAAAAAAAACACAACACTTCAACTAGGTTGTCGCCTTCACATTTCTTCTTTTTCGTGCCTTGTCTGCCCTCAACCGCGATGATGTAGCTGCATCAATGCTTTGCAATTCATTGTCCATCACTTCGAAATTAACTTCGGTTGTTGTAACATTGACACTCGGTAAGGACTAAGGAGGCAGCTGGACCCGATGTGAGGCCCTCAGTTTGCAGTGCACTAACTGCCATGGGAGTAGGCATGAAGTGGAATTGTTGTCCTTCACCCGAGGTGTTGGTCGATGACGATCCCCTCCTAGGCACTCTTTTGGCGGGAATATTTTCCTAGAATGTAAGACTTTCCTTGTGAATGCACGACCACATAAATAAAATTGAAAGCTTCTAAATAAAATAAAAGAACTCATTGTCACTCCACATTCTTACATAAACACCTTTGCCCTTTGATTTGAAGTATATAAAGTTTAATAAGTGGAAACTTAAAAAATCATGGGTCACGATTTTTGCCATTTGATTTCCTCCAACTGCAGCAATATAGACAAGTTCAATGTTTATATTGTTTCTATCTGTATGTATTTAGTGACAGAAGGTTTAACTAATATTGACCAAGTGCATCCATTCTTGATTTCTTTCTTCAATGAAACACTTTATGTATTGTGTAAGAAACGGATAAAAAAGGGAAAAAATGAATAAAATTTGTGCATCATTTTAGCTCAGGAGAATTTATGGCTACTCGAAGCACCAAAACTCAATGTAACTACCTGAATCCGAATTTCCCCACTGTCAACAATGACCGATACTGTGCACGCCTTCACATTACCAGACAAGAGCAATAACAGAACTTGAAAAATTTACCTTCACTTTCTTCTTCATCCATGTGCGCGCTTTCAAAACGATTTCCGTGTTTGAATCTGCGAAATAGGGATGCCGGTTTCTACAAAAAGTGATCCCCTTTCAGTTGTAAATCAATTTGGGGGCTATGAATGAGGATTGGGGTCTTCGAATTTCAGGTCCATTGAAAGGAAATTCGAAGGCGAGTTAATTTTTTGGACTGGCTTTGGGGGCTAGGGCTACGGATGAATGAGGAAGAATGAGACATTTCTAACGATTAAACGATCTGAATTAGGTACTGTAGTTAAGGTCTTGTTTGGTTCACTTTTATTCCACTTTGGCTTGCTGGTCACCATTTTTAACGGACCAGTCAGCATTCCGTCGTCCACGTCAAGGTGTTCACTGACGGAGTTCGTTTGATGGCCATTTTGGTGAAACGGAGGTAAGTTGAATGGCCATTTGGAAGCAATGTAAAGTTCAGTGGGTAGTTCGTGACGAGGGTAAAGTTCAGTGACCAATGAAACAATTAACTCCAAATGTGTTGCTAAAATTAATTATTGATTTTGACTTAATTTTAATCAACTTTTTTAGTTAAACCAAACATGGCTAAATATTGATACATCTACCAATTGCTTGAACTTATTGCTCTGAAAATCAAAGGAAAAAGATAGGATCTCAAGTCATTGTGTTTGGCTCAATTCGAGCAGCCTACCGATGCTAAAAACTACATTACCTACATTACAGAGGATGTTTGGTTATACTTTAAAAAATATAGATTTCTAGTAGCTTTTATGTACAAACACGTATAGAAACTTTCTTCCCAAGTGAGAAACTATGTCAAGGAAGAATACCTTCACAACGCTACTCTCAAAATCATGTAAGTTTAAATTTTTATTGAAATTTGAATTTCATAATCTTTCAAACTAACACGATATTGTCACATATCACACTAATAATAAAATGTCCAAACGACTAAATAGTAGTAGATCATAGATATCGTAATATGCAATGAAAATCGATCTATTGCTATTTATTCGTTTGAACATTAGTATATAATGTACAATGAAAATCTTATATACTAATAATGCCTATGCCTGGGAGCACTTTTATTCCGAATTCTATTAGATTTTGATAGATTGATCAAAATTTTCTTAATAAAATAATTGACCCAATGCAGTAACCATTCGAATAGGTGTAGTAGAGTAAGATTGCTTTTTGACTATGTAACTATTTTACCCACCACATTCCTAGCAGAATGACATGACTATCCCTCAATGATTTTATACTTACTCAGCAATGAAGGACAAAAATGGCAATTGGCAAGTGCAATCACATTTGACTCGTCAATTGTTATGGGCGTGTGCGGTGGCAGCAGTGGGGCTCATTTCAACGGTCAAAAAATCAATTATTTGTGAAAAAGAAGATCTCACCGACGGGGGCTAAGGAGATAGTTACAAAAAATATAAAATAAGAAAACAAGAGCCAAGGTTGAATTTCATCAAGAGAAAAAGAAAAGATTAAGCTACTCGGGTTTTATCCGGTGTTCTTTACTCTAATCTAACACCATGGATATGTTTCTCCCGTACAGATTACATAGAAGCATGATATTTACATATTATTATGCGGAGATACAGAGCAAGAAAACTTTTATACAGGAAATCATTGTTGTAAATTCTATATAACGAATCCACATTCAGACCTGAACTCCGATTCTTTGAGCAACCTGCATAGCAATGGAAGCATTAAAGATAATGAAATGTTCCAATAATAATTTCAGCCACACAAGTGCAAGTTTGATACGCTATATTAGACAAAACGGGACAAGATTTTAGCTTCTTTTCCTTTCTCAATAATGTCTAGTCATATCTAATCCTCATGATTACTACAAACCTGAAATATGTTGGTATAAATAAGGAGGATAACACAACATTTTTCGTAATAGGACATGGCCTACAATGCAACATCAACCTCTTTGAAGACCATAAAGATTTATGTTCTCTCTTTTGAACATATGACCAAGACTTAAATAAAATACAAGACATAAATTCTTCTAATACCTCTGTAAAGGAGGTAACATCGGCTCCCCAAAGCCAGCCATCACAACCTGCATCTCTTGCACCCCACATGTCATTTCTACGATCATCCCCGACATGTACAGCATCCTCGGGTTGTATTCCCAATAACTCACAGGCTTTCAAAAATATTGTAGGATTTGGCTTCTCTGCCTCAACCTGTTTTGAGAGTAGATAGTTGTGCCAAATGTGCATATCAAGAATGAACGAGCAAATGAAGTTACAACGACAACAACAATAAATTAAGCCTCATCCAACTAAATTTGGGTTTGGCTACATGACCCCATTTGGGCCAATCCGCTAGATCTACTGGGAGATTGGAAAAAGAATTTAAAGAAAATGAAAATGAAACATTGCCACTTACTTCAGCTGAAACAGCCACAGCATCAAACCAATGATCGCACTTCAAAGCCCTCAACAGTGGTCTTAAGCGTGTATCGAAATTCGACACGACCGCCACTTTCACCCCGGCGGTTCTAAGAGCCATGAAAGCTTTCTCAGCATCCGGATCACAAAGGTGCCAAGCCTGTTGTAGAATTAAGCGATACAGATATGAGAGATTATACGTACCTATGTGAATTAAAATGGGGATGGTATAAACTCGGGCAAAAGAAGGTCCACCTATCATTTCCACATAATTTATTTTCTTTTGAACAAAATTAAATTCCAATCAGATTGAAAGATCAAAGTGGCTACTAATGAATGGCTCGAATAAGCCAACCTTTTCAGTTGTGTAATAGTTATACAGCTCCTCAAAGTACTGAGAATCTGAACACCCAGTTGAGGAACTGACTATGTATTGCCAGAATGGTCTCCCATCATTCACATATCTGCAATATAATAAGTTGTATCTTCAGAATTTTCCCACGACACAAATGCTAATAATTATTACTAAAAATAGAAAATTTTCTAATTTTGCCAGTAAAGCAACATCAGTTAAATGGGCCAAATTTTGTTAAGGAAAATGCAATAGATACAACTGGTCAAAGCATACTGTCAACAGATACCCAGAATCTAAATGAGGTTTAGTAATAAAAAGAGAGAATGAACAAAAGATATGAAAAGATCTGATTTGCGTCTCTTGTACAACTTAGAAACAAGTACACAAAATCTTCAAGAGATAACTATTGTGATTAATGCAGTGTCAAGTTAAAAACGAAATTCAGCAATGGGGTGACAAATTTTAAGACAATGTAGTACTTTATGGATTCGAAAAGAGAAAAGTTAAAATAACTAATGCTATTAAGGGCCTTTGACATTTTCATAAAAAATGTGATCTGATCTCCTCTATCATTTCATAAGCACTATGCAATATGGGATTCTATTGTTGATTTCTGACCACATTTTCCATAAAGCCCTCTTATCTCTTCCTTCATCGAACTTATCTAATGGAAGAAGGAACTGAGAAGATAAATTATTTTCAATTATGCAAGTCTAATTGAACTAATGCATGAAAAAAATTGGATGGAATGTACCTTTTCCCTTTCCTGATTGAACTAATTGAATTTTACAGTATAGAAAAGTGATATTGTTTTCATTTTTATTGTTACATGAGAAACGAACTTGAAATCACAACTAAATGAAATGCCTGGGTGAGAGAGACATCAAAAGGGTAAGAGGTTGACGAAAAAATACAACAAAGAAAAGAAAATACAAACTGATTAAATGCTCAGGCCAGCTTCTGGTGAACCCCGAGAAGGGCAACCCGGGAAACAGAGAGAAAAAATATCCCTTCAAGTGTTTTCACAATATATACATAACAACTTACTCAACAACAAAAATACAAGGAAAAATTCGATGACGCTGCCTTGAATAATAAATGATTGATAAACTAGCTTATAAGTAGAGTTAGTAAATTATTCCTGTTTGATGGTTTAATTTAGGCATAAATGCCACAAGCAAAAAAGTTTCCACTCAAGAAGCTAAAACCCCTCAAACATTGTCCAAGAAAAGCAATAATCTGCACGTTGCAGTTTGCCACAGTTCCATCACTTAATTTACATTATAGGTGCAAGTCAAAGTTTCATAGAAACACAATCATGTGCAGCCTCAGAAGGGATAAAGCTAGCTTAAGACAACAAAATCAGGCGAAAATCAAATTCAAAATCATTAAAAGCAAAATATCACCTGAGGCGCGATTTTCCCCAAGGCTGCTCATAAGCCCATCTGTACCTGTTCAATATCTCACCCTCAGAATACTCCACTCCATACTTTTCCCCAATTTGCCTATAAATCTACATTACAAGACGAAATAAAACAAAGAAACAATTGATTGTTTTTAAAATCGAAGATAAAGAAGAAACTCGAATTTTAAGTAACTCTACTAGTAATTCAATGCAGCAAAGAAATATAAGCAGAGAAAATAGAATGCCAAACTTAATCACTTGATACAATAAAGATGGATAAACAGGGGTTTATAAAAGCCCATTCTGGTATTAAAGTAAATGTAAATAATCAAGAAAGATAATAAGAAAATAGATAATTTTGTATTGGAGAGAGAGAGAGAGAGAGAGGTGTACTCCAAAACAAGAAATTTGATCTGGAATCTTGCCCCTAACAAAATAGAATAATGCTGCTCTACCAGATATAGAGAGAGACCAAAAAAAGTCGGAAAAGCCTACTCTGGTAGTGTAGAAAATGTAACATAGTAAATAATAATAAAAAGTAAAATTGAACTTCAAAACAAGAAATTTGATCTTGAATCTTGCCCAGAAAACAACTTGCATGCAAATTGCCTCAATCACAAAAGAAGATCTGAAAGTGTCCTGTAATCAGCTATAAAAAGAAATTATATGACGCACATATACAAACACGAACCTGAGCCATTGGCTGGGAAGGAACAAGTAGAGTGCCCACTGCGTCGACAAAGAGGGCTTTATGGGTCAACCCGCCATACAGATTCCTCCGGTAATCCTCGTACTCCTTCAACAATCCAAATAATCTCGGCCCATTCAACACCGCAGCAGATGGTGAAGCCGTTTCGGCCTCAACCACCGCACTTGCAGCTGAACTCGAGAAAAATGAACAAGACGATAAAGATTCGGATTCTCTAAACGGGTCAAGCCGGAAACCATTTCTGGATCCACGAGCAAGAGCGGAACACTGCGTTTTTGTGGTGAAGAGTTTAAGGATCTTAGTTCTTGTTGTTAGAGCCATTCTTTCAAACGTTTCTACACTTACATGTCCCTCTTATATAAATATCCAGTGTAATAAATTTCAATAATGCGTATTTGAGAGAACCTATTATGGGTTGACTTTTTGTTAAACGTTCCCTTTTAATAAAGTGACATTCTTTATAAAATATTCATTTTATTTAGTTTTATACAAAAATCCTTTAACTAAAACCACCTCTATACTTAAATTTAACCTTCAATTTTGACCTAAATAAATCAAAAGATATTCTAATTTGGTCTAGAGATGTGAAAAATGATAACTAACGTAAATAAAATACGAACAACATACGTTAATATTAAAATTCAGCAATCACAAAAATTAGTTAGAAATCGAAAGAGAATTGTCAAACGTTTCACATTCTTAATTAAACTTTCATTCAGTATAAAACTATACGTCAACGTCAATACGAATATGTAAATAATAATCCAAAGTTGTGTTTTTAGTTGAATTTAAATTATTTCTGTGAATTACGTATTTCAAAAAATAATTATTTAAGGTAATAAAACAAAAATTATAGTGGAAATATATTTGGTTGGATAATGACGTGTATTTTAAAGCAAACAAAAAAACAGAAAACTGAGGTGGCTAATGAATACGGTCGTTTGAATCTGTGTCAGCAAATTCCCATCACAGCATGGGATCCATAGAAAGATAAGGCCCACCTTTCAACGTCAAACACGTGGGACCCTGCTTCTTCTAAACTTGTAATCTAATTACTGGAGTGACATACTATTCGTACATAAGAGGTTGACAATCTTTCAAACGGGGGTTCACTTTTTTTTTTGTTTTTAATTTTTTTAACATGCGAACCCCGCACGCATATGAAAGATTGTCAACCTCTTATGCACAAGTAGACTAACTCAATTACTAGTCTATGCCTATCTGACACCTGGTTTCTTTTGACTGGCGGCTGGTTGCACAAAAGGAATAGCATCGTGTTTAATTTTTATTTTTTTATGTTACTCTTTCAAATGTATCGTGTTTAAAAAGAGTAATGATAGGTGGACATCGTATTTGTGCATCATACTTGATATCATCATTGTTCACACGATTTGATTGATGAAAGAATTGTTTTTTTTCAAAAAAAAACTGACTAATAGTGTGTTGTCAAGTGGCACGGTATAAAAATAATGCAAAGGACAAAATCCATGTAATATGATTGGTTCAAATATTAATACGTGAATCCTCATCTGAAAGAAAAAATATTTGTTGAAATAGAATTATAATATGCAGGTTTGCTAGACGAATTATAGATTTTAGTTTGTAAAATAATCATACTCAACGTATAATTCCTAATTTTGATGTTTAGCCTTTTGTTTGATGGTCTTTTTTTTTTTTTTTGAAAAATATTGTTTTCAACAGTGAATTTTTGAATAATGTGTAGTTAAAAAATATGAAAATTTTTTGGACTTACGTGTAAAATATTTTATTGTGTGAATGTTTTGTTGAAAATGAGTATGTAGAAAAAAAATAGTTTGAAAGAATTGGAGACAAACATGGGTTTAACTGGATTATTTGACAAAGTTTTAATAAATTTTAATAATAATAGAAGAAATATACTATAGAAGAATTGATAAAAATTGTAGATCTCATGATATTTATGATTAAAGTCAAAATTTGCTCGGTTAATAAAGTTGATAATATCAATGAGTTAATTGTTTCAATGGTCACTGAACTTTACGAAGTGTCACGTTTCACTAACCGAACTTTACGTTGCATCCCATCACTCACTGAACTTACGAACGTTGCACTCCATCCATCACCGGACAATTTCCGCCTACACCCGTTGCCTACGTGGAAGACGGTTTTCACACGTGGCCGTTAATTCCAACCCAGCTCGCCATGTCACGAACAAATAAACACGTCTTTATAAAAGCGTGGTGGTGGACACAATTAACTCCATTTTCACCCTTTCCCCAAATCAGTCTAATTCCCAAAATGTATGAACCCTACCCCTACAAACAAAATCGATTCCGAATCTCAAGAATCTGAAGGCGCAACGAAGGGTGATTCTTTAAGCCATTGAAATGGAGAGAATGAATCGAGGTAAATTAGAAATTTTCCCTTCTCTGTGCAACGTTAAATTTCCCTTTAACCTCGGATACGAGCCGTGTTGATGTTTATTGATTCATCCAATTTTTTGAAGCTATGGTTTCTTTTATTGACCAACAAAATGAAGAAATTTTTGCAGTTAAAATATTTGACTGACTGGGCATTATAATGATCCTTGGGCAGCATTTTATATCCAATTGTAATGAATTGAAATTGCTTCTGGATGAGCTATATTTGAGATTCTGCATCTGTTGTGCCCCAAGTGAAATTGCTGTATAAGGCAGGAAGCATTTGTAAAGGCTATTGTTTCACATATATTTTGAATTGAATTCCAAGTACTAGCATGAAACTTATGTTTGTTCTGATTGCTGCATATTTCTGAACCAACGGTTTTTGTGTGTTAGGAACGAATAAAGGGATTTGCCACAGTTGTCGACAACCAGGGCACCAATTGTGGAGATGCCCAACGAAGCAAAGATGTCCAGATTGTGCTGATGGTTATATGAAATGGATGGAAGTAGTAAAGACCTCGAACATTGGTCGATTATTTTTTTGTTGCACTAGAGATTGCGGGTTTTTCGAGTGGAGCGACGTTGCGCCCAACAAACGGAAACCATTAGAAGATGAGGGTCAGTGCAGTGGTGTAAAAAATGAATGGGAATCAAGGTGCATTTGCTCAGCCATACATAAGCCTGAGCATGAAACTGAAGATCTATCGGGTTTGTTCAAAACTTGTACTCGAATTACCGAACAAGCGAACGTCGAGATATCCATCAACATTACGTTCCGCAAAGGAAAAGGAGATGTGGATGGGAATGATAAACAAAATGAAAGAGATTAGGGAAGGCATTCCAACTATGTAGTTGACTGGATGTTGGATAATGACGTGTATTTTAAAACAAACAAAAAAACAGAAAACTGAGGTGGCTAACGAATAAGGTCGTTTGAATCTGTGTCAGCAAATTCCCATCACAGCATGGGATCCATATAAAGATAAGGCCCACCTTTCAACGTCAAACACGTGGGACCCTGCTTCTTCTAAACTTGTAATCTAATTATTGGAGTGACATACTATTCGTACATAAGAGGTTGACAATCTTTCAAACGGGGGTTCACTTTTTTTTTTTTTAAATTTTTTTAACATGCGAACCCCGCACGTATATGAGAGATTGTCAACCTCTTATGCACAAGTATATTAACTCAATTACTAGTCTATGCCTATCTGACACCTAGTTTCTTCTGACTAGCTGGTTGCACAAAAGGAATAGCATCGTGTTTAATTTTTATTTTTTTATGTTACTCTTTCAATGTATCATGTTGAAATAGAGTAATGATAGGTGGACATCGTATTTGTGCATCATACTTGATATCATCATTGTTCACACGATTTGATTGATGAAAGAATTGTTTTTTTAAAAAAAAAAAAACTGACTAATAGTGTGTTGTCATGTGACACAGTATAAAAATAATGCAAAGGACAACATCCATGTAATATGATTGGTTCAAATATTAATACGTGAATCCTCATCTGAAAGAAAAAATATTTGTTGAAATAGAATTATAATTTGCAGGTTTGCTAGACGAATTATAGATTTTAGTTTGTAAAATAATCATACTCAACGTATAATTCCTAATTTTGATGTTTAGCCTCCGTTTGATGGTCTTTTTTTTTTTTTTTGAAAAATATTGTTTTCAATAGTGAATTTTTGAATAATGTGTAGTAAAAAAGAATGAAAAATTTTTGGACTTACATGTATAATATTTTATTGTGTGAATGTGTTATTGAAAATGAGTATATAGAAAAAAATAGTTTTGAAAGAATTGGAGACAAACATGGGTTTAACTGGATTATTTGACAAAGTTTTAATAAATTTTAATAATAATAGAAGAAATATACTATAGAAGAATTGATAAAAATTGTAGATCTCATGATATTTATGATGAAACTTAAGTCTTACGAGTTTAATTGATGTAGCATTGTATAACAAAGGAGAGTCGTACAATTGTCATTGCTTTTAGTTGAAAATAACAAGTTGTGTGGGACGTAATTTTACCAATGACTTTTTTTTTTTGTTACTTGAAATGATTTTGAAAAATTAAGTACTAATCTATCATTCTTGTCATTATATCTCAAGAAGTGAAAAGAATCATAATTCTCATTACATCTAAGATTCTAGAAATTTATCGAGAGTTAGAATAGATTTATAGATCAAATCGGTGAATCTCTTTTAACTAAAAAAAAATTACGTAGGGTATTTTTCTATTCTTTCTACACCGCAATGTCTTCAACCAAAACAAATTTATTTTTTCTTCATATTTTCTAATTTTCATGATGAAAACTTCTCAAAAAAGTGATTTAAAAATATTTTTGGTATTTATTTTCCAATTTTCTAATTCTTAAATGATTTTTTTTTTCTTTTTTTGTTCATGAAGTCCTCAAATCAATTTATCTTTTGAACTTTCGGACTTAAATTTGATTGTTTTTATATCATTCCGGTCTCATATCCACTAAAAATTTCATATATCAAATATCAAGATTTGAAATTTCAAAAGTCTTGACAAAATGCTAGTGAGAATATTTGGCTAGATTTTTATATGTGGCCCTCGTGAGATTCCAAAAAGTAGATTGGAAATTGATAGACACGAAAGTAATTGAGGTCAAAAAAGATTAGAGTTAAAGGTGAAGAAATATCTTAGACTTGTGGTAGAAGTGGTTAGGGACCCAACCAGAGGCAAAGTAGAGGCTTGAATTGAACATGGCCTTCATCATAAACCAAGCCAAATGTAGCCACAATTTACATGATTGACATCGACATTTCAACCATAACATCGCATTTTTCTTTGAAACGAGAATTTGGAGTGAGTCGATGATACTAAGTCTTGAAGTTAAATCTTGAAATTTTAATTTTATTAAGAGGAAAAACGTGTTC